TTCCAGGATCCCAGAATCTTGGTCGAGAGCTCTGAAGGGTGAATCAGTTATGGGTCCAGTACTCATCAAACACACCCTGAGACCCTCGGAAGCCCCATGGCGAGAACTCTGGGCCAGGAAGGCCATCCTAGGTGGTGGCCGAGCGGGTGGACCCTCCGCTGCTGCTACACAAGGCCACTGCGAAGGCAGATTACCCTCACCCCTACACTGGCTAAATCGGAAGACAGTCTCTTTTCAAAAAACCCTGTATGTCAAAAAGGACAGGCTGGGCATGGTGGTACATGCCTGCAACGCCAAAACTCATGAGGCTAAACCTGGAGGATCACTGCAAGTTCAAGGTCAACTGCAGTTGTATAGTAGGACCCCACCTCGAAATAAATAAGACCATAAAGTTCTTCTCTATACCGTATCCCCACAGAGACCAACTGGCAGTTTTTAGGAGTGTCTATTAGATAAAGAGGGGAAAAAATAGATAGAGTGAAGGGAGAGATTTCTTGAAATCTCCAGCAGGTACGAATTCCTTATCCATTCTCAGAACTCCTTTCTCCAGAAGATTCCGTGAGACCTGTCCTTTTTTCCTCTGCCTGCCGCTGTTTCTCCTCCAATCCTCATGCCGTCGCCCATGACTCCTTTCACTTAGACAGTCCTGTCTTTTCTGTGCAGTTGATCTCACATACTCAGGCAGCCTTCATTCACTTAACTAACGCTGTTGATTAAGCATCTTCTGTTTGTCCAGAATTGTGCTAGATGTGGGGAAAAAGTGACGGAGCACATTTGGTCTCTGTCTTCCAAACCCTTCCACCATGGTGTTCTGCTTGTCTTGCCATACAAGTGTAGCTCATTTCTTACCATGTTTAAACCTCAGTTGGAAGTAATAATAATTACTTTAGAGGTGGTAAAAGGACACATCTTGAAAGGTCTGCAGACATTTGAACATGTAACTTGTAACATGCTTGCTGCTGTGAGTTCAAGCCTCGCCTTCAGAAGCTGGGTGGAAACCAGGCTGCAGTGCAGCAGAAGCAGGAAGCAGAACAGCAAGAGATGGGCAGGTAGGAGACACCCAGCACCTGACCATCCCCGCCTTCCTGTCCCATATCTGGGGAGAATAGGCTCTGAGCAGAGGTGAAGAAAGAGGCAGAAGCCGTGAACCAGAAGGAGAGGCAGCAATCGGGCCCTAGCCTTTAACATCTATAAATGCCTCCATTCTGCTGGGGAAGGAGGAAAGGGACTACACACAGCACTGCTGAACGTATTAATTAGCCAGGGGAAAGGAGTCCACCTTGCATTTGGGCCCCCAGTGTGTTGAGATTTTCCACTTAACCACTTGCCAAAGTATTAGTGATGAGAGATACATACACAGATACATGCATGCCTATGAACAAACATTATTAGGGCTTCTAGCCACTTTTAATAAAATAAAAATAACTATATTCACTAGGAGATATCTATTGTGTCCTACACTGAACCCAGTACCTAACCTATTCAATCAATTTATCCTCACCAAAAATACTACATTATCTCTATTTCTCAGATGAGGACACTGAGACTTTGAGGGGTTTAAATTAGTAGTTTAAGAGACTGGGCGAGATAGCTCAGCAGACTAAAGCGCCTGCTTAGGCAAGCTTAGGCAAGCGAGGGACCAGGGTTCTCCATCCAGGCACTACATGCCGTGCCAGCGTCTGGGCGTAGTGGCGCACGCCTGTAATCCCAGCGCCAAGGAGGCTGAAAACAGGAGGATCACTACAAGTCCAACCTGCGTAGCAAGGCTCTGTACCAAATAAATAAATAAATAAAACATTTTTTACAATGACAGTTGTAGTGATCCCAAGAGATCCCAGTGGGTGGGAGGAGGCTGGGCTCTATCTGTGCTCTTAGGAGAATGGGGAATGGAGGGACCTTGTAAAATTCTAACCATTTTGGGAAGTTCAAAGGCATTGTTGCCCTCTCTGCCACTCGCACCATAAAACTGAGAACATTCCCAGCACCTTGTACAATGCACGGAACATAAAAGATCCTCAATAAAAGTGTGCTGAATGGACATCATGTGTACATCGACATACTTGGAACAAAATAAATTCCTCCCCCCACCTGTACTATTAGGGAACAGCCGTGGATTGTCCTAATTTCCTCGGACTCAGTTCCATTCGTGACCAGGCTGATCTCTCTCCACTGGTGTGCTGTTCACCCCTGCGAGTTATTTGTTCCTATGGGTAATGTCATGCATGCTCTGGCATTTGGTTCCCAGGTTCTCTGCACCTCCTATAAGGGATAAAAGGCTGCGCTCTGCTTGTCCTTTCCTGCTCTCAGGGGGAGTTGCAGGCCTGGTCTGAAAGCTTACAAAACCAGCTAGGGATTTTCTCCCCTCCCCATGCTAAATTCTAACTCGCTACCCCAGCCCCACCACCGAGTCTAGCCTTCTTCCCCAGGCAGTCTCTGCCAGCCTCACCAGGGTTGATCTTGTTCTCTGAGTATTTGAAGAAGGAATCCTTCATCTTCTTAGGGAAAAATGTTTTTCACAGGAGTTCAATGCCAGCAATCTGGGGATCTTGGTTGATTATTTACTGCTACTTAACCTTCAAAAGATTCCATTGCAGAAGAGCAAGCCCGTTCACAGCCCAGGTAACTGCACCTTCCCTGTGCAGCCCGCCGCACTGAGCCAGTTGGCTTCAGCTTGGATGCAGAAAGACTGACTCTACCGACACCCTCACCTCCCAGCATGCCCGCCGGTGGACACTCAAAGCCGAAGTAGTTAGGTTTTACGTCATTCCCGAATTATTAACGTGCCTGCAAATCAGTGTTCCCAGGACACATGACTATCCTGAGCTAAACTTTATAGAATGTCAGGGAAGCTGTCAATATTATTTTGGAAATACAGTTTTGCAGTTTCAGAATATCATAGGATTTGAGTTTTCAGAACAAAGAAGAATATTATTATTATTTATTGGAAGTGATTACTTGTAATATTCAGTCTGAAAAATAGCTAATATCATCTTGTGGAAACACATGTTAAAGCCCACCATTTAAAAGGAGGTAAGGAGGGTCTGGGAGATAGCTCAGTGGCATAGGCGCCTGCCTGGCAATCAAAAGGTCCCAAGTACAAAAAATGATCCCTGGTACAAAAAGTAAATATATAGAGGTAGAGAACATTATTCACTTCCCTTGGGGTCCTTAAAAACATAGGAAAAAGTAGAGTGGTTTATGTTGCAAAAGAGAAAAAAACAATGACACATGGTAGACAGATTGAAGCAAATAGAAAAAGTAATGCATTCTTCATTGTCGCTATATCATAGTAGGTCTAGAAATCAGGTTTTAAAAAATCACAGAGGCACAGCCAGTGGCTACAGCAAATCAGCTATTTCTTCTCATACATAAGAACATACAGTGTTCACCCATTAGGGACCCAAGTTTTCTGCTTTCTCTTCCATTACCCTTCGCCACTTGACTCAAGGTGGTTTCGGAAGCCATAGCTGTCCTACCCATACCCTAAGAAAGAAGGGGGAAAAAAGACAGGAGGTGTGTCTGTCATGCTTCCTAGAAACCCTGAGCACAGAAATGACAGATTCAACAAACAAAAATTCATAAATATATTATGAGACTTCATGTGTATATGCATAGCACTTATTGTTTACTGAAATTTAATTTTAACTGGTGTGCTATATTTGTTCAGCAACCCTAACCTACTTTTCTAGCCAGGTCCTGCCTCTTAGCAGTATATTCTGCTATGAAACTATGAACAGATGTATCCATTGATAATGAGACTTCTAAAGGACATTTTAGATACAAGCTATAACAGACAGTTCACAGTCCCCCCAAGTCAATGCTATGTCCCGATCAGTGTCAGTAGAGAACAGTTTGCACTAGACAGTGCATTAGTAAAGATAAAGATCAGTGGGGAAAATGGACGTGAATTAAAATTCCCCCACTAGTTCCCTTGAAGAATTCCAATGTGGGGCAACGTGGGGTCTCTTGCCTGTTAGTGAGTGCTTACAGTTGCTACCAAATATAAGTGTGTTTCCAGCTCTCACCTGGCTGGCTAGGGGAGGTTTAATAAGGACCAGTAAATGTACGCAATCCCCTCCAGCCTGTCCTCAGGCCCACTGCCTGGCTTAGCTACATGGTCCGTGGCTTTCCAAAGCAACATCATTTTCTAAGCCCAGGTCCCGGCCTCCGCTCTTTGGTCTGGCCCGGCACCTCTCCTGGACATCACCCGGCAGACTTCTCTGCCCAGATGCTGGGAACAGTAAACCCAGTCCCCGTCTTCAGCCTGAGGTTTCAGCCACATTCATTTCTGAGCCTGTCATGTGCTCTCTCGCTATTTATACTGCTTTGGGTCAGCTACTTGATACTTAATAAAATTTGCCTCCAAGCTGTCCTGCAGGGAAACTGACCCGGGGGCCTTTATCTGGGGGCAGCGTTCTTCCAACTTCATAACCTCTGACTGTTGCCCAATGTCCTCTAAAAAGGCTCAGGCCTGGAGGGAAGGGGAGGTCCGGGCCACTTCCTGGCATCCAGCGGCACCCAGTGCTTTCATGTAAATATAATCATATCCCCCACTTTCAGGCGTCCCTTCCAGCCAACCCCTCGCACGCGGATCGGCTGCAGAAGGGGCAGGCACTGTGGAACTCGGCCTCTGCTCAAGGCCAGGACAACAGTGCTCACCCGGGCTGATTTTACCGACCTTTCCATTATTTCTGAAAGCACAGAGGAGAATGGAACTGAGGCAAGAGTGGATCTATCCGATGGAAATAATGAGCCATTTATAACCCAAAATGAGACTGCCAGGAAAAACAGACACACATAAAAAGTACATTTTATCAGAAGCCTTTGCTGCACAAGGCCAGCAGGGTACAAGGTACTGAGTGTTCGGCTTCCCAGGCCAAGAGCTACAGTAAGTCATGCCCGGCTCTGCTGTCACCCGACCAAGCGGCCTTAACCACCTGGTGGCAGAGCTTTCGTGTCATCCGAATGCCTGCCGGGTAGACGGCTCACATTCTTTATAGAGATGTGGAGTCATGCGGCAACAACAGCAAGTGCTCCTGCCTCTGAGCTGCAAGCCTCCAATGCGGAGAGGTCCCAGGCTCGGGGCCTCGCCGCAGCGCACGCACGCGCTGCCCTGCTGCTTGCATAACCTGCCATCGGGCCCCAGGGCTCTCCTTCCGGGCTTCGAAACAATGTCCACGCTCCGAAGCAGGCCCTGGTGCCCTGCGGTTCTCTGCCCCAAAGGTGTGTGGGATGGCTCAGCTGTCAGCACCTGCCCGTGAGATAAAGAAAAGTGCCATAGGCTGATCCTCTCAAGGCACCAGCACCAAGGAGGAGGCTGGTGACAGGTCCCAGATGGCCCCGCAGCACGCACCCCAGCACCCTACGCAGAGGGCGAGTGAGGACTGTTAGCTGAAGTGCAGGCTGGACAGGGGACCAGGGCTGCTCTGTGGGTGACAGGCGGGGCGGCTGTCCTTCAGGCAAGAGCTGTCGCAGTGGCTGTGAGGCCCCTCCTCTCCTCCCGTGACTCACCTGGAGCAAAGCGACAAAGTAGGTCAAGCGCCTTCTCGGCGCCCTCTCACCTCCAATCACTGTACCTACCGGTGCTGGCTCTTGCCTGGCTCTGCTTCCGAGCAGCCGTCCATTTGTTCCACAAAGCTCGGAGCACCTGCTCCATGCCAGGTGCTGTGCCAAGCAGTGGGCACCAGGCAGGGCTTTCTCAGTGCCTCGTGACGCCCTGCAGTGCACTGCCTGGGCCTCTGCTCCTGCCAGTCTCAGCCCCATCGTGTCCCCAGACTACCCTTTCCTGCACTCACCTCCTGTGACACTGCCCCTCAACCGTGGAAGCAGACTATTGCCCTATAGTTGGCATCACAGCAAACTAGCACGTTGTTCTCACAAAAGCATCGCCTCTGCCAAGCACGGGTTTCTTTCCAGAGTTTCTGCGTATTGCAAGGTGACGGCCTGAAAAAACCATGCCTTCCATGGGATGAAAAAGTAACTGATTGGGGAAACTGAGGCACAGGGGCACAAGGAGAAAGTAACACATTGCCTGAGCAGGATCTTTCCAGTTTCACAGGTAAGCAAGCTGTCTTTCCCAGCTGTTCGCTTTCAGTGAGCTGTGCCTGTTATGGTTATGGGAGTAAATTCCAGAGCTAGTCTACTGGGGTTCAAATCCCAAGAAAGGTACTTGATCTGCATTCCTTAGCTTTCTCGGAAGAAGAATTTTAGAAACGTCTAAGCACATTCACAGGGTAGTTCAGGGATTACCATACATGAATATGCATGAATTCTTTATAATACTGGCGCGCATACCAGGGCGCTGTAAATATTAGCTTTGATTTTTTCCGTGAAGCTGACTCCACTTTCTACTCCGCAGGCGGATTCTCACGGGAATTGCTGCATTCAGAAGAGAGTTTGTGATTCAGGCAGCAGTTCCGTCGTGGTCTGCACAACAGGAAGTAGCCAGTGGAGGAGGAGGTAGGGGCGGAAGACAGGTCAGGTGGCGGTTCCTGCGGCTTCACGACCTTGGGCCGCCTCGCTTAACCTCCCTGGATCCCAGAAGTGGAGGTGGGTCTGCACTGCCCGAATTCATGGCCGGTCAGATAACACGTCCAGACCCTGCTGTGTCTCTTCCACTGTCCCCTACACAACTTGATACTTTCCTTCGGGTGATCTTTAAATCAGCTTCATTGAAAGCCTCAGTGAACGCTGAGAGCCGCATACTCAGGGATTTGCTGTGCTGGGTGTAGATTTTTCTAATGCGTTTTAAAATAATACTAAATCATCTCGCATGCCATCAACGGTATGCACATGCTGTTTTAGGAAACGGGGAATTAAATATAGATCCGGCCAGCTCTGAAATCGGCTCAGTTGCAGTTATATAATTTTCATGTGGATATTTAACTTAGCATATGTTTCTTTATAATTTTTGGACTTCTTTGGGGAATACTGGCTTTTATTTCTTTAGGTACCTACCATACAGAAAAGTGTTTGTTAAATCACTTACTTCTAAATTGTAAATTTAGCACGTATACGTTCACACATATGTATGTATGTATGCATGCATCCATATGCATACGTGTCACCTACTGACTTCCGGTCCAGTAGCACAGTGCCCATTTCCCCAGAGCAGCGTGCATCCCTGTTTTCCTGGCACGCTGTTCTATGAATGAGGTGAAGTGCGTACAGTGCCAGGCCCAGGGTGGGCCACAGGAAGTGCTCCCTTTCCTGGCCTCCTTCCCTCTTCCGTGCCCCTTTGTTGGTGAGTAGCCGCTTTCCGTGTGAAAGCGAGTCCCTCCTAAGGCGCAGGAGGCCCAGAATAACCGCCGTCCATAGCACAAGCCTGCCAAGATTATATTCCAAAATCCTGAGCAACTACTCTAAGAAAGAAAAAAAAAATGTATTTCTAAATCTTATTCATGGGCTGGGGAGATAACTCAGCAGTCTGGGTGCCTGCCTCACAAGCGCAAGGCCCTAGGTTTAATCTCCAGCCCCAGAACCCCAGGCACCATGCTGGCTACCACCACCTGGCATGGTGGCATTCGCCTGTAATCCCAGTGCTGGGAAGCCCGAGACAAGAGGATCACTATGAGTCTGAGCTGCATAGTGAGAGCCTGTGCCAAATAAACAAATAAATAAATAATAAATACTATTGTTGAAAGAGGGCTTGTGAAATTGTGCAGTGACCTGCTAACTGTTCACTGGTAAAACATAAGATGCGCGAGGACCGTATCACAGCAGGAGTCTGGGCTCACACCCTGAGCACGTTCTCAATCAACCAACATAGACGCAGCACCTTTGTGCACGCCATCTGTGTCGGCAGGCTTGGGAGACGCGAACCTGAGTGAGATCGTCTGGCTGTGAAGAGACAAGAAGGCTGGGCTTTCTCCAAGAGAGAATACTGGCTAGTTCATCTTCACACCCCCTAGGCCTTCACAAAGCTGTCGCGTGTATAATAAGCAGACATTAAATATTCATTCCATGAATGAATGAATAGCACCAGCCCAGCCCTGAAGGATATTACTAGATGAACAGAGAGAAGTCATACAGGCAAATGAAGGGGTAATTAGCGATGAGCTTGCTGGGTGTGGTGGTGCACACCTGTAATACCTGCACACACTCAGGATGCTGAGGCAGGAGGATCGTCACAAGTTGAGGCCAGCCTAGGCTACACAGTCAATTCTTGGACCACCTGAACTACTTAGTGAGACCCTGTCTCAAAAAAACAAAAACAGAAACAAAGAAACAAAATAAGCAAAAAGCTAGGATTGGAGGTCCCATTCAACCCAGCTGTTCCCCTTCTGGGTATTTTTTAAGAAGGAATGAAAACTTCATACCACAGCAATCTATGTGCACCCACGTTTACAGCAGCACAATTTGTCATAGTTAACTCTTGGAAAGAACCCCAATGCCCATCAACTGAGGAATGATTAAAGAAGAGGTGGTATTTTTACTCAATGGAATATTATTCAGCCATAAAGAAGGATAAATTTGAGGTTTTTATTGGTAAATGGATGCAGCTAGAGACCATACTCTTTTTTTTTTTTTTTGAGGAGACCATATTCTTAAGTGAAATAAATCAGACTTGCATGTCCAAACATCATTCTCTGTAGTGTAAGAACCTGGAAGAGAAAATAAAATCTAAAGGATATAATAGGTACTGGGAAAACGGAATGAGCCTGTTCAAAAGGAAGGAATTACAGAGTTGAGGAGAACAAAAGACAGAATGGAGAAAAGAAATTTATCTATATATGTAAGCAAAATGGTTTGGACTATGGATTTCTGCTGGTCTATGGAAAGGAGCAATTAATGCCTAACTAGTTTTGTCTTCTTTTTTCAATTCTTTTTCCTTTTTCTCTCTTCTTAATTTCTTCCAATTTTGCATGCATATATCTGGTAATATGAACAAATAATTTGAAGACACTATGCAATACAACAGTTACTGTTGTTTAGTGGAATGTTTGTTTAGTGGAATTCTGTATCATTTGTAATTTTTTCTGTTTTAATACTATTTTGTACCTTCTTTTAAAACAAACAAAAACCAATGAGCTTAAGAGGTGACACAGGCTACTAAGAAGGCTAACATGTCCTCACTCAGCTCAAAGCACCAAACACAAAGCCCAGTCACACACGTACTGCCACGGTTCACAGCCACCCCACAGGGAGGCATACGAACTGTAGCCCTATCGTGACTTTGTTAAATGAAGGATGCAACAAGTGTGGCATCAGAGACAGACCCCATGGAGGCAATGTGTCCTGGACACTCTACTGTTTCCCACTGAGGAGCCCGACTTTAGAGAAAAGCAACCAGGTCACCATCATGTGACTGCTTTCTTCAGGCCCCTGACTTTACAGGTTCCTGAGAGTGGGCAGTGTAATATTTAATATAAACAAGTGGGGAGTGTTTCTCTTTCCAAGTGTTCTTCTGTTGTCCACAAGCAGAGAGACAGGCCACAAGAGCTCTGCTGCTAGAATCCTGGAGAGAGGCTGCAAAGCTGTAATTATTGATTTCAGAGGCTCAGAGGCAGGGGGACCCCTAGCAGGAAAGGGCCTCTGGCATGACTTGCTGGAGAAAGACACTGGGCCTCCTGCCTAGCTCTCTAGGTTTCTAAGCTGTCAGCACAAAAATAGAAGCATAGATCAATGTTCTGTATTATCCATTAGTTACCAAAAGTCTCTCCACAAATATACCTTTAGCTGGAAGACACCCTCTTCCATAGTTTGAAAGCATTTTTAGTTCATGAGCGGACCAGACATTTTTGTTGAGCACAGATGAGATCAGCCTCAAAACCCTAATTAATTGGAAAGAATAACATTTCCACTAAAATTCACTTTGAAAAATGACTCATGCTTCCAACCAACACAAATTCCAAACACCACAACGCAGTGTGGAGAGAAAAGTTAATTTCTACCAAAGCATACAATGCCATCCCCCATTCTGACCTCAGAGAAAAGCAGCCAAGGCACGGTCATGAGACTGGTTTCTTCAGGCCTCTCTGCCTTCACAGGTTACTGGGAGTGGGCAGGGCATATTGAATGTAAATAAACCCAAATCTTGTACATATGGATGAATAGGACTACGGAAATATTGCTTTAAATGAAATTACTGGCTCAAAGACATACAAATTTGATTTCTGTTAGGCACTGCCAAATGGTGACCCTTGACTTTTGGTAAAAATTACCCAAAGTAAAATATTTCTTCGTGCCAAAAACAGAAATGCTGAAGATAGCATTTTATTTGAAACTTTAATAGCTCAGGGAAGCAAGAACTATCCTTATTTATGAAAGTCCCTGTCTGTATCTTACCTACATAAAAATACATGCTAATATATTGTCATAAGCCTGTCCAAGATATGCTGTGACAATTTTACCAATGGAAAAACTTTCCAGAAGTTCTTTCCCCAATGGCACACATGCACTGCCGTGGGGTTAGCTCAGTAACAGGTTTGAGGTCCAGGTCAGTTAGTGCCACAGCCCTATCTTTTTGGTAACCAGAGCTCAGTTTGTGTCCCTGTCTGGCCCTCCCTCTTCCAAACCAAGTCAGTCATTTCTTCTCCCCCTGGGTCTCTCACAGAAGCAACTGGCCTGAAAGTGTCAGGTCACACTGATTAGTTGTTGAGGAGGGCAGGGCATGACAGAGCTTTGCTTTCATTTGTTATCACCTGTGGGGTGAGTTGGGAAACAAAGACCCACGTACCATTCGGCTGCCACTTCCCCAGTTGGCCCTTTCTATTTTAACAAAGTGGAGATCCAGAACATTCTGAAGCCTCCAGTGTTTACCAGTACTCTTTGCCACATTCCCAGACCTTCTTTCCTCTTTGCTCTTGTAACCTGAGACATGCTGTGGAGAGTTGGTGTTTGTTTTGTAATCAGCTGTGGCTATTCTCTTCTCTCTGTCTGAAACTGCAAACATATTACCTTCTTAGTAACCATTAAAAACCTGTGTCTGGTTGGACAGGTGATGACCAATTAGGTAACCATTCTGCTTACGTTTAGAATGCTTTGTAGATGCAAGAAGATAGCTTAAGACCTACTTCAAATATTTTTTCATTCTGTGAATCCATGAAGCAAATTATGCAATGAGTCATCAAGAAACTTCGCTTTTACATGTATCTCAAAAATCATTCTCTAAAAACTACAGACTGGGGCGGGGGGAAGATCTAGATTCTTCAGGGAAGCTGTAGCAATAACCCCTGCTGTACGTTTAAATTCCTTACCTCCACTAGTCCTACTCACAAAGAGCAATGGTCAAAAACAGATCTCCTATTTAAAAATTAAATGCAAAAATCAGGAAGCACAGCACGCTGTGTTGGCACTGTGTTGGGAGCTCCAAAACTCACATGCAGCAGTTCCCTGTCCGGGGGGTGAGTTAGGAAGTCAGTACCATTAATTTTGGTCCTGCCATATGAGGTCACCAGAAAGCTGGACTTGCAGACCTGGGAAAAAAAGAGTAAGGATGGACAACAGGTGGGAGCCACCAAACTGCCAGACCAGGCAAAACAAACCTTGAAAGAAAAGCCCCCGACCAAAGCCAGCAGTAAGGAGAGCTCCTCACTCTAGGTACTTACACTGTGGGCTTCTTTACTAAGTTCCATGTCCTTTGATTTAACATACCAGGCATGGTTTGTTTCATGTGCCAGAGATGCGCCTAGGGGTTGCACAAAGAGTCAGAAGTCTTTGACCTTGCCCCATGGTGGCACACATTGAGTGTTGTTGCATCAGCGACTCAGTGAATACATTCATGAATGAACAGAGCTTAAAGTTTAGGGAAGACTATATGGACTTCATTTTTATTACCTACGGGGGTGATATGTACCAAATATATGGTCCCAGGGCACAGGGAAGGTCCTTAGGCTTGCGGTAAAATTGAATGGATAATCGTCAGGTCAGTGAGTGAGGAAGAAGTGTTTAATGCGGGTAAGTGACAGACGCAGCAAGTGCAAAGGCCTAAAGCAGAGACCGGCTCCACCGACCCAGCCCAGCCCGCCAAGTGCTTTCGTGAATTAAGTTTTCTTTGAACACAGCCATGCTCATCTCTTTCTATTTTGTCTCTGGTGCCTTGGTGCTGCTGCACCACCCTAAGCAGATGCCTCGGGCATGGCCCAGAATGCCAGAACCACTTACCACCTGGCCCTCTGCTGAACACACCTGCTGGCCCCCATGTAGGGATACAAAAGACCTGGACAGTGACCAACCTGCAGAGAAGGCACTTGTGACCCACAGGGGTCTCGGCGAGGTGAGAGAGGAGACAGGGGAGAGAGCAAGAGCCAAGCTCCGAAGCCTTCTAGGCCATAGGAAGGCAGGTGGCCCATTCCTGCTGGACCTCCACAGCAGATGTGCATTTACCTTGGCATCGTGATAAGTGGGCGAGATGCAACGTCAGGACATCAACAGCTGGCCACAGCTCTCAAACCTTACTGATCCTACACTCCTGGATTCAGTAAACAGCGAAGGCCTGTGTCATTATGTACCTTGCTCTGTGCTTAGGAAGCAGAACATGCTACACAGACGCAATTAATCAATATCTGGTCAATAAGGCATTAAAGAATGAATAAAGGCAGTATTTTAGCAGCACCATCATTAAAAGGTTTCCAGAACAGGCTGCCCCTGCTACGGGACGAGGCTGAGATTTCCGTGGGTTTCCAGTTTCCATCGAGTAGGCACTGAGATCCATGCGTGAGAGGGTCAGTGGTGAAATTCCAGGCAGAGAGAATTTCTCCTTTGTCTCCAGTGACAACCAATATCCTCAAATACCAGTCTCTGGCCAGAACCTGCGCTTCTTCCGTTCCCTGTGACCGAACGGGAGAGAATGGGAGAAGAAGCAGCCCTGCTAATAGTGTCATCAAAGTCATCTCACCCGGCTCTGTGTGGCATCTTTTGCTGGGAGATCTTGAAGCATTTTTTTTTCTCTGCATAATTATTATTTCCAGATCTACTTCCACTCAAGAAGCTAAACCAGACAGAGCGGCTGTGACTTGCCCAGCATCACTGACCAAGCCAGAAAAGTGGTTTTAAAAAACGGAGAAGGATGTCAGAATGTGTGAAATGCAGTCTCCCTCCTAGCCTACAATGGGCTGGGCTCATGACTCAGAAAATAGCACCGCATTATTCAGGATCAGTGTCTCTCAAAAATGAGTCACCCCAGCAGAGATTCTGGGCAGATGCATCTGCATCAGACCCAGGTTTTCAGTTGTCACACATGGTCCCTGCCCCTTGGATTTCAACACTTGTTGCCAAAGCCCATCCCAGACAGGGTTTCTCTGAAAGTCCAGCCTATAGAAGTGGAGGGTCTGGCTTGGAGGTGTCAGTTCTTCCTGGCCACGTGTCCAACTGTCGCTACTTATAAAGTCTAGAATTTCATGTTTATTAGGACCCTATGACTAGAGTAGCTATAGCTTTGTGGGAGGTCTGGGCCAACCCTGGTATTTCCCCTTTTTTCCAACATAATTATTAAGAAATCCTTCCGTTACTCTAAAAACAAGCTTCAGTTTGGACCATAGTTAACTATGGGGTCATTCGAGTTCTGACAAGTCGGAAAGAATCATTCCTGAACCCAAAGGGCATCCTTTCCTCATGATTGGTCTGTCTCAGCCCCTGCTGCGTCACAGACCCAGGACTGGAACTGCCAACCGTGGCCTGGCTAAGGAGCTCCTCTGAGACATAATCCAGCCTCTGTACAAGTGCTCCTGTCACAGAGCTTGTACATCACTTATGTGACACTCAGTCACTAATTCTAAGAGAATATATTTTCTTCTTGCACCAAAAACTACCTTCCATTTCTTTCAAATAGCGATTTGAGTGCTGGTCCCAAGAAGCTGGAACCAGTCCTCCTATTCCTAAGAGAACTCCCAGTCCTCTGTTCTCCAGCCCAAGCCCACCACCAGTCCCGAACAGTCCTTAGGAGTGTGGATTGGGAATCAGACCTACCTGGATTCTGGTCGGGGCCCAACTGTTCCCTAGTGAGGTGAACTTTGGTAAACACTTGTCTAATTTTCATTTCCCCTTCTATAAGTTTTGAACAAATAGTAACTGCTTAAGCTAGGCATCGCTCATGAGGTAGCCAAGAGCCAATCATTTCTTACTGACTGAGGGGCTCCTTTCAACACTTGGATTTCCCAACTCTGTCAGAGCTGGATGCAATCATGAAACATTTCTAGACAGTGAGTTGTGAGTTTCTGAGGTAGCTTGTTAGAAGGTGAATATTCAGCCTACATTTCTCTTTATAATTTTTGTCATGTAACCCTGCCCTGCTTCCTATTTTATGTCTAAAATCCATTGGGAAGCTCAAGAGTAGGACAGCTTACTGAAAATATGAGTAAGAAAGCCATTAGCAAAGAGACCTGAGGTCCTGGGGCTGTGGAAGTGGGAGAGGAAGACACCTGCCCTGAAGGACTAACACCTGGTCTTCTTATTATATGAAAAATAAATAAATCCTTCATGTGGTTAAAATATTGAATTGGGTTTTTGCTATCTGTACTAAAACCAATCCTAAAATGAAATGTAGTAGAGCGTTGTCGTGAACGCAACACGAGCTCAGGATGGTGCCTTGCACAGAGCAAATGCGGAGTGGCCCGCTGCTCTCACTATCATGGTGAGGATGATAAAGATGAGCAGTCACTGCTGTGGGCCTTAAAGACCAGGGCAAGAGCTACACTAACCCTTCTGATCTCTAATAGCGCTGACGCACACACACACAAAAAATACCTGCAATCCCTCAAGCGCATGCGCAAGCGCGCGCGTGCGCGCACACACACACACACACACACACACACACACACACCCCAATCAGTTTCAGATGTTGGAACAATTACATCTCTGTTAGTGACTAGTGAAGCCAACTTTTTATTAAAGTGCAAGATCCCAGAAGCACAGAGAAATGAAATTCCACCTGGCTAGCAAGTCAGCAGCAAGCTCTTCCCCGCTGTGCAGGCATCTGGTTTCCTTTCCGGACAGGGAATCCATTCACGTTGAGTAGCGGATTTCCTGGAAGTAGCATCTGGTCTGAGTAACAGGCAAAGCACAGTACTTTAAGGATGTCATTATTTCATGAGAACCGAGTGTCTGCTGAGAAGCCGGAGCCGCGCCTACAGCCGGCTGACCACAGGAGCGCAGATTTAAGTGCAGTGCTGGGAAGTGTAATTAGCGCTGCACAGCCTAAGCGAGCAGCGGCCGGGATCAGACAGGAATGCCTTTGCATTCTTACCTAGAGTCCACAGGGCTCCCCTGGGTGAGCGTCCCACCTCCACCTGTCCCCTCTCTGACTTACAGACACAAATAACAGTGCAGCGAAAAACCAACCAACCTGGGGGTGGCAGAGTTAAATACCTGGGACTCGAATCTCAGGGAGTGATGTGGAGCCCAGCGATGCTGGGCCCACAGTTTTCCCTCTCTAAGCAGCAGTTTTCTCATCTGTATGGTGGAGATGAAACGGACATCTCCTGAGTTTGGGGGGGACCAAAGGAGACAGTGTGAGTGTGTATGTGTGACAGTATCTGCCAAGGAATTAGAACACTGGTTTCCCTTCTTTCCCTATCAGCAGCGTGGCCCTGGCAGGCTTGTGCCCAGGTCTAAGGAGTGAACCTAGCTCAGGTCACTGCCACCAGCTGTAGCTCGCCACCTTTTCTCCTGTATGTCACCATCTAAGTTTTTGGCCCATACTTGGAAAGCCAAAGCCTTCCCCGAAGCTGAGGTCATGAGGCAGAAAAAGGCAACAACTCTGCTTCCTGAGAGCGGGTTCGGTTGGCAGTGGCGCCAAGCTCCTCTCTGTGGCCTACTTATCTTTGGGTAAAGGAGTCCCCAGCAAACCCAGCGGGAGGGGACTGGCCCACCCACCGCAGGGGGGCAGGGAGCCGGACAACGACCTGGGAGCCGGAAGCTGCCCTGCGCCCCAGCCTCACGGAAGATGAAATACGACGACCACAAGATTCACACCTCAGCCCATGAAACACAATCTACTTCTTGCCCCGTCACCTGGCGGGGGTCCCTGGCAGCTGCTTCCTAAGCTACAGCGATGCGTGTCCAGCACTGCTCACTCCGAGTCACGGGAACGGCTGTTACCATTTTCCAACTTTGTGTCCTCTGGGTGTATCCAGGTGTGTGTAGCAAACAGGGTTTTGAGAATGGAGACAGTTTTGATAAAATGGTAAAATGGAGAGACTAATCTTTTTTAAAAACTGATCAAGTGTTCATCATCTTTGTTTTTGTTTTTTTGTTGTTGTTTTTTTGTTTTTGTTTTTGTTTTTCCAAAACATCATCTTTGTTGACAACTCTTATTTTTAGTTTAGCTGTTGATTACATCTGCCTGCTTTTTTTTCTTTTTCTCTTTTTTTTTTTTTTCTTGCCTTCCTATCTCGGCCAGAAACCAACATATGAAGAGTTAGCATTTAACTTCTGCCCAGCAGTAACAGTGAAAGCAGGATGTGTCTCAATTTTTTTGAATCACATTCCGCGATCCTCAACGAGTTTCAGGTAGCTTCTGTACGTTTACCACAAGCATTTTACAAATACCTTACAAAGTGACAGAAGCTGGGAAATTACAAATTAAACTCGGTATGGTTGGGTTTGGGAGGATCACATAACTACAGAGAACAAAATTTACATTTACAGTGTGTCTTTTATGCTTCAAATTTTTTCACCATGGCAAACCAATATATGTTTTGGTTGAGACTTACAAAAAAAAAAAAAAAAAAACCCTACATGATTTAATCCAACAATGCACAGACTGGATTTTAATGTAAACCTCACATCACCCTGAAAAAGATGACCTGGCATACCTTTCCTTTTTATTATTGCTGTTTATTTTCTTTGCTTTGAGGCAAGGCTTTGCGATGATACGTGCCTCACACTCCTACACTCAAGCCATCCTTCTGCCTCCCGGCCAAGAAGCTGGTGCTGTACTACTCTATGCCCCTGTGCCCAGCTAATCCTACTCTTCTTAAAGAAAACTATACCAGCTAATATCAAAGTTCAGGTTAGAACATTGGAATGCATATTAATTAGGGCTATGATGCTATTGAGAACTTGAGCTCATATTAGTTGGGGTTGTGATTCTATTAAGAATTGAAAGCCACAGTGGTGATGCACGCCGGTAATAACAACGTTTTGGAGGCTGACTCAGGAAGATCATCGTGAGTTCAAGGCCAGCCTGGGCTACGTTAAAAGAAAAGAAGAAGAATTTGAGCTTCCTGGATGTGGTGGTAACCCTAGCACTTGGAGGCTGAGGTAGGGGGATTGTCATGAATTCAAGACCAGCCTGAACTACATAACAAGACCCTGTTCAAAAAAGAAAGGAACTTGAGGGTCAGCCAAATAGCTTAGCAGATTAAAGTACCTGCAAGTAGGTTCAGGGGCCAGGGCTTTGATCCTTCTGCCTACCGTGCCGGCCCCACCCCTGGGGTGCGCTGAGATGGCAATTGAGACTGGGCACGGTGGCACACACCTGTAATCCCAGCTCTTGGGAGGCTGTAAACAGGCAGATCACTATGAGTCCAATCTAGTAGTGAGATCCTGAGCACCCTGTAGACCCTTCCCTAAAATACAAAAAAGAAGCAAGCAAGCAAGCAAGCAAGAAGAAAGAAAGAAAGAAAGAAA